ATGGAGGCCCGCAAGCCATCACACCACGTCAAGGTGCAGTCTCGTCGTGACGGTATATAATATGGTTACCAATCGCTGTAATGCCTAATTGTGTAACCTGTTTGCTAGTGTTTCCTATATAACCTGTAAACGGCTTGAGAATGAAGTACTGAAAACTGTTGTTTCATCAATCTGTGTACGTTCCGAACACTGTATGATGGATATCTTTTGTCACTGAATTGTCCTGCGCTGAGCGAACCAGAAAACGTGCTGTTTTAGTCGGTCGAGGAAAAACCGGGAATGGGCTTGCATCATAGCTTGTGTTGTCTCAAAACTGAATTAAGCGCATTACGTCGGTGATAAGACCGATTTGCTGAAATCCTGGGGAAAGATAATGGGTCTTGCAATTAACTGTTTTGATAAAGATCAAGCAGATAAACTTACTGAGTAGCTAGTTCTATTTTGAATTCCTACAAGCACACAATTTTCAGGAGGAAAGTGGTACATTCCCTCTGAATTCAGGCTAATGTCTGTTTGTTTATTTTTGTCCGTCTACCTCCATATTTTATTTTGTATCCCCTTGGAATAAACATATGTTTCATTCAAATTTGGATTCACCAGCTTGATTTCCTGATCGATATTTCCAACGGGTTACCACTGTGTACGTGGTGTGGTCCATTCAAGTTCATGAGGTTGAGATGAGAACAATAAACAAAAAAGCATATGGATAACAAAAGCCAATGCCATATCTTCACATATAAGATAAACAATTGTTTACTGAACAATTTCCCGGGGCTCCCAGATGAACACTATCAAATCCAATGCGTTTTGAACAACAGCAACAACAACAACTTTGCATGAGGGCAGCGTTCTGTGGGACTGTTCAGACAATGTTCAAATTCAAATTTGGTATTCAAAACATCCCAACAGAAGTCAGCTCAAACAGCAGGCTATCTGAAACGTGTGGAATGAAGTCTGTTTGTGATCACAATTATCTAATTTAATACAGGAAAGAACTAGGGAAAACGAACTCTGTAATTCGACATGAACATTGTAGCTTGCAGCTAAAATGATCTATGCATAGATGGTGCACTGATAAAAGTGAAGGACACTCATCTGTTTATTCGATTTCTACTTATCATTGCGTCACACATGGTAACCCTACCAAATTTTTTTGGAGTTTTCTAACCTCATACCGATTTGGAAAGTCTGTCGTGACCGAGACTGCATCAACCTTGTGTGAAAAACGGCTACTTGTCTGAAGGCTGCATTTGATCACCCTTGTGAACAGATTTCGAGTAACATAAACATTAGTTTCAGCTGATCTACTGCTCTTTTCGTGAGTCATGCGACGGTATATCAAATAATACATATACCATTTCTGCTTGTGTTTGCATAGATAACTGTTCGTTTTCCGTTTCATTGTCCTGAATCATGTGACGTGAGCTTGAGGTCACTTTAGAATGGGCTTTAGCTGCCCCATAAATGAAAAGATAGAAAATGGCTTTGGTGCAAGGATAACGCATGCGAAAGGCTGATTCTTGCTAATCGCATGTGTGTGTCAACCCATCAGTTGAGTAACGGTTTACAGAGTCGAATGGGAAACGCAAGAAAATTATTCGGTTGTCTCGAGAGCATACTCAATGAAACTGTCTAAAGACAAACAATTTGGCAATCTGTTTTCAGAACCTCGTTCAATGTTTGACACACAAATGTAACCCCAGGCGGCTTGAAATTCGGGTTCATTTCATCCATTTGATCGTCTCAACAACTTCAAGTCTGCTGCATGTATAGTAAAACAAACAAACGGTGGATCAATTTGCAGTTGAGCACGTTACGTAGACCACAAATCTCGTTGAGTAGCTTCGAATTTAAACTGTTCAGTCTATCCCGGGTAGTGGTTATGGTTTGAAACAGTATCACTGTGCCATCGATTATCTGCCAGATGCAGATTTTCGCTTCAGCCAATGGAACGAAGAGCCTACTTCTGATGGGTTGATGTCGTTCACAGGAGTAACGAATGGATTCTAAACAGAAAAATGAACGAACCGGGGGAAAAAGATGTCCGTTGTTACCTGATCAATACAGTGAATACAAGTAGTCCCACACTTTCGCCACAAGCGAAGTTAATGACGGCTGAAATCCAGTTCGCATAATGTATACGTTCGATGGGGATTGCCTATTACGAAACCCATTGTAGACACTGTCTACGGATGCTAAATGTAACTTACATACTCTGGGATTGAATTTGATCGGCTAATTGTTTGCTTCGTTTACATTACATTTACACCGAGCCGTAGCTAACTCCTTCTGCAGGAGTGTCGTGTCGATAAGGTGTGCAGACATTTTCCTCCCAAACTCGACTTACACCTGATAACTCACTCAGCAACGTCCGATTTCGAGCATCAGAATCATGGTAATATTTAACGTTTAGTGTTTGTCGGTCGAGAAAATCAGTTCTGGAGGACTGGTGCACACGCTAACACCTTCAATATAATGGAACGATCGGTGAGCTAGCGGACCCACCTTCTACGCGTTTAGTTGACAATCTACACACTGGGGACTATAGCAACATGGGCATAGGGTGGATGTAATGGTTATCGTGCCCTTATAGTTTATTCTGATCAAATGACTGATTGGAGTGCTCCAACCAAAGAATATGGCTCATATTTTAGCCAGTGCTCTTCGATGAGATAAGAACTTGTTCGGCTACCACCAAGTAACCTGTTAAGTAAGGGTACACATTCGGTTTTTCAGTCACTGGGTATTGGATCTGGGTGCAAACACCATGTTATTGGATTTCAGTAACTTTGCATGACGAACCGATTTTACAAAGTCATTCATGATCGATTTTCCGGCTTGCTACGAGCGGAATAATGAATAAACCCCACAGAGTGTATAAACGATGGCATTCGACACCAAGTTGGAGACTACAAACCTGAATCGATATGGGTCGAACGATGGGCTGATAGTTCCTTTATTCAAATATTAAACACCATACTGCGTAGTTTGGATATGTTTTCAAAGACCCATGCATTCAACTACGTACACGTACGAATGAAAGGCATCACGCATCTCTGTGGATCAGCGTCGTCAACCACTTCAATGGAACAAAACCAACCGTCCTAAGTGGGCGCGTAGTAACTCCGATGACCTCAGTTAGAAACTGACTGGTTCATTGTGCAGTGTCCCATTGGAACTAAGTGAATCGGTTTAAACCCTAACCTGGACAGACAAAACGTAGTGAAATGTAAATTACTGTACATATTAGGATTAGGCATTAATCTGTGTGTGGTCTGAACAATTCCGGACCTGCGATAGGTGAGTGACAGAGAAAGAAAATGCAATCCAGGGTAGTACTGTGACTCTTCATATGTACATGACTTTCATCAGAAATAGAGAACAGGGGAGTGTGTGAACGTGGTTAGGGTGGGTCGGATAAGAGAAATGGGGGAAATGATCAGTCATTGAACGTGGGAACACAGGCAAAAGGGACCAAGATTTGTGTGTGTGTAGGGGGTGTGATCGGATGGAAGCCAAATAGAGAAGGGACCAAATGGTACAAGCAGTTCGAAATCGAAAGGTTAGCTACCACACACCGTGTTACTGTGTCCTTCAGAGCAAATAGACATAGCGAGCAAAGACAACTGACGAATCCAGTATTAAGGAACTAACTGGATAACTAAATTCAACAGGGAAGAAGACAGAGTGTGGGTCAGGATGAAATTCGACGAAGCCATATAGGCATGGAAAAAGGAAATAAGGGTCAGATTAGGATAAGGTGACATTCAGGAAAGCGCGACATGTACAGTACAAAGACTGATAAAGGAAACCAAGAATCTGATTGACATTCATATGAGTAGCTGTGAACGAGTTGGAAGAGAAAAGGAGAACACAATAGGATGACCGGGATAGAAGGTGGATGAAATCTAATTGCAGGCGTTGATGCGTGTTCAGGTGTGCTTAAGCAGACGGGCGGGAAAGTGGCGTGACTGAGACATCTATTCCTTGTGACTCAGAGGAAAACCAAAGCGGTTCAATCATGGTATTTGACTCCAAAAGCAAAACGTAACGAGAGAGAGAGAGTGGGACATGATGCCGGTCAATGGTGTTGATGGTTATGCTGCTGTTGTCGCTATTTTGTGACATGAAACGAGAACGCGATGTTCACACAACACGCGATCACGCAAATAAATAGCACAAGAGCTTGCCAAACGAGCACCATGGACTGATAACAAGCATACAAAAGCAAACTGGCAACGAAAGAACCATGGCCAATAAACCAGAGAAGACCCGCATTTGGCACACCGAGAATAGCGGGGTGTTAGTGTATTCGGTGAGTGAAGAAAAACCTAAAGATGTGTGTGCAGAAGGGAAGTGACGGTGGGGAAATGAAAATCCGAGGATGTGGACAGATAGGCAAAAGAAATGAAGAGGAATCGAGTTCCATTTGATCAAGTAAGCGAGCGTTGCTTTTATCGACGAGAGAAGAGGGAGAGAAAGAAAACGACGCCCGTGACGAGTGACAGAGAAGAGGCGAACGCTGTGGAGCAGATAACCGGACAGGGACAGAAATAGAAACAACATGAAAGACAACGGAATGCGCCCAAACACCCGGAGTTTATGAACAGGAACAATGAGGCAGTCAATTAAAAAGGCTCAATCCGAGGCTTAAATTAAACTATTTCACACGAACAGCCAACGCAATCGTAGAGTGTGCGCGAATCATGGATGTTGTCAGCATCGTGCCGAGATGGCGGCAACAAAACCGAGTAAAACAAGGCAAACTAACAAGACAGCCGAATGTTCCGTTTGGAGACCACCCGTGACGGACAGCCAGGTTCAGTGAATGTGCACCACGGTGAGCATGGCGATCAGTGATTTTAAGTTGTTGGCTCTTCATTCAGCATACACACAGACATACGGATCGTGGAATTCAGCTGCCTCGTTGGATACGACGAGCGCTGGGTGGGAACAGTGTTGGCCTTGTCAACAGCCACCAGAAATTCCAGTAAAAACCTGTGAAAATACATACAAAAGAAATTAAAGCCATTGGTAAATAAGAGCATTTCATACTATATTATTGTTGAATAAAGTCTAAGTGGTAAATCACGCTTAAAAACCGGGTGGCTGCCGAAAGTAAAGGGAATCTGTCGATCGGGGACCGGTATTGTATAGATCAACCAGTTTGGAAAAATTCACCGCGCCAGTCAATTTCACAGTTTTGTTCTATTGCCCTTCCTCCGTTTGACCCCCATCCCACGTTGTAGTGCATAAATCTGTTGTTTGATAATCACCCTCAGACCATTACATAATTACTCCTTAACAAACCGCTTGACTTCGACACACTTGGTACACCTTAATGGACACGGTGAAATTTTCTCACCCACAATTGTCACTACATGTGACATTCATATAGAGTTTGATATGATATAACCATGTCCCCGCAACTGTTTGCACTCGAGCACTAATCCTATCTTATTCCTTGTCCCCCTAACTCCTTGAAGAAGTGTTTAATCTATAGACAGCTTGGTGCGTCTTTTGTACTGACAAGCACTCTCGGAATGCTTTTAATTAAATTGGTGGTCTTAATCGGAGCATTGCTTCTGCCCATCCCTACTTTGAATCTACCCCCTCCCCCTACACTCCTCCTTTAAGAGACTTCAACAGATCCCACGAATCAGTTCACTCACCATACACTCTATTCAACTTTTTCAATTCCATGCTGGTGTACGTGCAGCAGTAGTCACCTCGCTATTTGATTTTGATCTTCCAATCAGGAATTTCAATTCGCATTGCTGAAGCACGCCAGTTTCAAAACATAACTCTTGCATTCTGTATTGTGCTTCCGAAAATTATGTTTGATCTTTTTTCACTGTGCATTAAAAGTAGTTTGTATTCAGACGCCAACCCAATCCAAGGTCATTTCACAACAAGGACTGGTGGGCATACTCCACTAAAACACAAACATGGGCCGCGGGGTGAAAACGTTTGCCATTTTCAAAATGTAACCACAATCGGTTACCTTCTCCATTCGTGACCCCGGTTGCAGATAGGAGCGTGCACATACTGTTGATTGGTTATCATCTTTTAGACACTCTTTTCCCACTGCCTTATCGCCTTTATTTTTCACACTTCATCTGTCGCTCCGGCATTCCCTTTCTGTCACATATTCCGGTGTTAGATATGGATCTCCTGGTATCCCCAGGATATTTGTGCTTTTTATACCGACCCGCTAGTTTCAACGAATGCTCTCGGTTCAGATATCCACGGCACGCATACGTCTGCTTCTCACATCTATAAACCGGAAACAAAACTACCCCGAGTGGTATTTAGAAATGCGTGCTCCCGTGTCGTTGGTGCGAAAGCTTCCCCGCATGGACGATAGTTTCCGAATCTTCATCATCACTGTCGGTACTATGTGCAATCCAGGAATGAAGGCTTGGAAATTATTCTAAAAGCCAAACAGTGATGCAGTTATGGTAATTTCAGCGAACTGCACCTGGGTAGGGGGAATGTACGAAGGAACGTTACATCGACGTCTGATTAAAGGAATGGATTGTGCTAAACGGGTTGGCGGAGGGATTAACAATTTGCTGATCGCAGAACTGAATTTTCCTACAAAAGGCTATTTTGTGGAAGAGACCTGTGATGACGTGTACATTCACAAAACAGAGATATGATACAAGAATTCACAGATGCGAACGGTTCTCCCTGTAGAGGTATAATATTTGGCAAACGAGGTAAGTGTTGGAAACTGGAAAAAGGCTTATTGTAGGGCAGAAATACGATTAAAAAACAGACCCAATATGCATCAATGACATGCCTTTCAAGGTATGAGGATATGAAACACCAGTGCAGTCATCCGTTAGAGGTGAACTGTGCATTGCTCACACTGGAGTTGGTTGTACAGAGCGTGGTTGCGGACGTGCCTGTGGGCACGGGCAAAGCACTGTTCACCCCCGTCTGAGTTACACGAGGGTTGCGTGCAGGTGGAGCAACATTGGGAACAGCTCCTGTGGTCGCATTTGGTGTTGACGAAGCAGGAGAAGTAATTGTAACAGGTTCCACCTAATTGGAAAGAGTTAGTACACAAAAAGAAGAGAGATATTGAGTCAAATGCCATTATGATTGAGAATCTATGCTCGACACTCGAGTACAGCGAAGAGGCTATAGAATGTGCAACACAGAACTAAATCGATTTCGCTTGGTGTATGACATACGCATGGATCGTGAAAAGCTAAGTGAAAGGAAAACTGCAGAGCGATTTCACGGTATCTATATTTGAGGTTCTCGAATCGACCGACCGACTAAACGAGCGAACGAACAGCACAGCTAGCATACCCGTCATAGTGCGCGCGCGCCCGTTATCGCGCGTTCACACACACACACACACACACAAGCATGAGCGCTAGTTCTGACAGATTGGAAAAGGAACACATATAAACGCACACAGTTACAGATAGGAATGCCTATCGACCCGAAACCCAAGGCAAGCATACCGGCGAACTGAAAGCTGAACAAGCTGAGTTTATCAGAAGCGTAGTCAATTGCATACGAACACCCAGGCTCGTGCGGCCGTGCACGTGCACGTGCACACACGCATTCAAAGGCAGCAGACACGGGGAGATCATAAATGAAAAACGAGGCAGGCAAAAGTAGCCAAGTATGCGCGCGGGCGCACACAGACACAGACAAGCATACCGGCTGTCCCGGGAGGTAATCGCACGGAATTCAACCGTGCCCACTCAACGTTTGCAGCACATGTTCTACATCCACCATCTCTTCTAGCTCCATCATAAACGCCGTTGCTGCCGTCCAGGGACGTGGAAGAACCATTGTTTGAAGACAAGAGTGACAGACAAACAAGGGGTTGGTGAAGCCCAAAATCTTGAGGTTCGATCAAAATGCTGAGTCATTCACAAATGACAAATAGGACTGTGGGGGGGGCGTATACAGTGCAT